TTAGCCCCGCCGAAAGCCTTTCAATTTCCACCGACTTAATTAAATTCGCAATAGAAAAAGCTAATATAACATAAATTGCCAACTATTACCGAGCGCTGGCTAGCGTTTCAGAAAACATTTTTTGTATGGCCTCCAAGTGGAAGGCCAGCAGCTTTTCATTGCATAAGCAACGCTTGTTTGGACTGATTCAATTTTTCTGTGCTCTGTTTTGATAATACCCTGTACTCATTGAAAATTGGCAATCGGGGTAAAATGGTATGCTTAACAGCCAGAAGAAGGCGTCTGTCGAATAATAATGATTAGGCTATGAAATTGTGGCTTCTACATCTTTAAAGCTAGAGTCTCTAATGTGTATACTATATCACATATTATTAAACCTTTAGTTTGGCAAAGATATCTACACACATGAACACCATTATCGTACTCTGAAAGTTTGAGTCAGAAAGTCCATCTCTAAAAGGATTTATTCAGCAAATAAGTTATAATAATATAGCCCGCAGTCGCAGTCGCTGCGTCAACTGCGCAGTTGGCAGAGCGCGTGCTGGTGTGTGTGGGTGTATGCATAAAAGAAGCCTAGAATAGTTGGCATATCAGTTCTTCGATAGGGTTCAGGGAATCGCGTAGTCGAGCAGCAGCATTTGGAGTGGAGTGAAGCACTCTGAGTTGTTAATTAAGAAGTTTTCAGTATTTCGATATGGAATGGCAGATGAATTTTTTTGGATGGGTGCGTTGCACATACATATATTACACAGCTATATGTTCCCCTGCTTGGGTAATCCGGTTGCTCACATGTAACTTAGAAATAAGATACTTCATTTATCATGTACAGCCATTACTATGGTTATAATGTATACACGTACTGATGTCGGCTGCTGTGTGTGGACATCTGTGTGTGTGTATGTGTGTGTGTGTGTGTGTGTAGAGGTACGAGTACAGTAAGCTCTAGCTTAGCAGGAAAAACTTTCTCTCTCTAATTTTGCTGGGAAATTGACATTAATGTCAGCAAATATATGAGGGATTGCATAGGCTAGGTGACTAACGAGTGTGCGTACGACCCTACCTCCACTCTCTCCCCTCACTCTCTCTCTCTCTCTCTCTCTTTCTCTCTCTCTCTCGTTCATCCTTGTGCTATCCATTTCTCTTTCACTGTTTGTGTGTGCGTGCAACATGTCGCCAGAGACTTCATTGCTAACAACTTTGACATGACAGCCACGTTTCTGACAACTTACTTCCATTTTGGCAGGGCTCCCATTTGATTTATTAATAATCAAAGTGACATTTATATATATATGTATATATATAGAAATATATATTGTATATACCTATTGACTGATTAGTATGTGTTGGCCCTAAACTTAAATGAAGTTATATCTGAGGCACGAACTCAAGTTTTTCTTATTTCTATACATATATGTATGTATATTTACAAAATTAACTATCTAAGTAGCATCTATCATATATTCTGAAACCATTTGACATAGTTTATGAGCTTAACAAGCTTATTGATATTAGTTTGTACTATATATATCATATTGGATAGATTCTATTTAAGGGAATTTCCCTCTGAATCTGGAGCATTTATGCCATTTTTATGCTGAGCATCGATTGACCTGTTTGTATATTTGATATATATATTATTTATTATATATATTATATATTACATATGTTATATATTATACATTATATATTATATAGTATATAGTATATATTATATATTATATATTATATTCATTTTAACGAAATGAATTCATATTCGATATTTGTCGCTCGATTTTCAAAGCAAGTTATGTTAAGTGCGATCCTTACGATCCTTAGTTACGATTCACTGTGGCCGCCAGGTGGCGCCGCTTATTTTACTTCAATCTCTTGCCAAAAATTTTAGTTTCGGCGTGAGCTGCTAAATACAATATCGAAGAAGAAGCTGCAACAAAGTTTAGCACTTGATTTGCCCATTTGGCCGCTGGCACATCGATATAAATTCATTGCTGGGCGCTGTATGTGGCCAGGCGGGGCTGAACACGATGCTGATTAAGACGCCTCTGTGACAGCTGAGCTGCCAGGCAGATGTCGCTGGCTGCCCGACTTTCGGATGAGTTCGTCCGCCCACATGAGAGCACATACGTGTGCACGCACACATACACACACACACACACACTTTGCCAACTGGCAGCAATCAGTCTCTTAATCAGTTTTTTTGTTGGTTTTGCTCAGCTGCGAGCTGAGTTTTGGCCTGCATCCCCGGGCAAAAAACTCATTAAATTACAATAAAAACAAGGGCTTATCTATAACGCCGACTTGCCGAATATTAAATGCTCTCCTGCACGCACACACATCCATCTATGTATCTGCCCACATATGTATATGGTGGATGAGTCGAGCTTTATGACTGGCTGCAGCTGCAGCATATATAATATTATTCTATATTTGTATTCGACAAATCTATCTTACAGATATAGAGAGAAAAAGAGTGAGAGAGAGAGAGTGAGAGAGAGGGACGAGCCTTAAATACGATTCCCTGTGTGACAAATTGAGAGCATCCTTGGCAAGGGTATTATAAAAATAATAACATCCAGATAACAACAACAGCGGCGCACGTATACATGCGCCCACACACACACACACACACACACATAGACATACACGTATATATACAACGGCAGACGAACACCCACTCACAGATATCAGACAATTGTCCTTGTAGCAGGAAGCACACATGAACAATTCAAAAGCCTCGCACAAATAAATGAAAAATTGCTCAAAACTTCACGAACAACAACAACAACAACAACAAGAATGACAACAATAGCAGCGATATTCTGAGAATAGCCACAATTGCTGGCGTGTAAACATGATTCAATAAGCAGACTAAATCGTGTATACATATACATACATACATACATATTAAATATTCATATATACATATACTATATGAATTATTACTGCTAATGCTAGGACTGGCTTTGCGAACAACAAATAATTAAAATATTATCAACTTCAAAGTAACGTCAAATCTGAAGTTAAGTTGCTGAATTCCGAAAAGTTTCTTTCTTCGAACTTTTGCTAATTCCAAAGATATGCCCACAAAGTTAAGTATGAGCAATAGAGCGGCGACTGCTCGACTCTGCAATACCCTGTAAATGTTCACGATTTCTATGACATATCCTTCTCTCCCTGCTGTTCTTCTAAACTTTCTTTTTACTATTTAAATAATTTTTAATGAGAAATGTAAGCAAGTCAGAGATTGATTACATTTAAGTGTATATTAAATGTAATATAATAATATTTATTATTTAGGAATTTAGTTTCAATTGATTTTATATACGATTGCGATTTTTGCATCTCTTACACTTAAGATCTATCGTTGTCTATGGGTTATCGAACGATTGTTGCTCAGATTAATAATATATATGTATGTAAATACATATAAATTGAACTATTTCACGGAATAGAATATGTGTTACATATAGAACATAAACATTGTACAGCAAAATATTGTATTATATAAGGTATATTTGACGGGCTGACAGCCAGATGGACTCAGCGAGTTGTCATATAGTTAGGGACATACTTTGTACAGAAGGCATGTCTATGGCTTCTATCCAACACACTGAACTGTATAACTGTGCTCGCTGAATACTAGCATAACAACAATGTTGTATAAGAGTGTGAAACGATTGTGTGGCCATTGCTGGGGAGCATGCGACATACTATTTAGCTACACAAGGTGGGAGAGCCCCACATAACACCTATGTGTATACCCATACTACCCAATGTTTTTTAATGTTTAACCAGAGACCCACAATTTCATTAGGCCCACACCACATCCCAGCATCCAGCAACCCGAATCGCATGCGTTTTGCAACTTGAATCTTAACAAAAGCCGAGAAATAACTTTGTAAATGTAAACAGAAAAAAAAAACAACAACAACAACAACAAAAAACAGAAAACAGAAAACATAAAAACCAAAATTAAAATGGAAATATTTGCGTGCCGGGCAGAAGGGCTGATAAAGAAGAGCCGAAGCAGAGAGTGTAACATATAACTGATGAAAACCAGCCCAAAAGCCACTTCGCGAAAAGTTTCCATTTTATGGCGCATTAAGAAAACACCATAAAAACAGTTACATTTTGCCTGTCAACTAAATGCAAAACAAAGCAACAAAAATAACAAACAAACAAACAAACAAAATCGAGTTCAGCAAAATGAAATAAAAACGTTTCAGCTATATTGTACAGAAGCAAACACATATGTATATATATGCATATATATATGTATATTGTATACTTTTTGGGAACAACAAATACTAAATTACATTTTAATACTCATTCACGAATGTGTATTGAGTATATTGGTTTTGCTATGTCTGTCCGCCTGTCCGTTCGTTGATAATTTGAGTATAAGCCCATGAATACCCTAGAATAATGATGTGTCAATATTTTCCTGATGCGCTCGCTTACCAGGGGCGTGGCAAATACATACATATGCCAGTTGGGGAATGTGTCAAATCGAATCTGAGTGAGTATTCTGCAGTCGGTTACGCTCGATTGCAACGTTCAACCGTGTTTTTTTTTTTTGGGCTCTTTCGTGCATTAGGGTTGGGGGTGTTGGGTGGGTAATAAAAGCTAAGCGATGAAATCCAATAAGCAAAACGTGCAAGTGAAATGTGCATGCATACACATACATATAAGTATATCTACATATATTATATACATACATATATATTGTATGTTCAATGTATATATGTACAAGCGTACACACACATACATACATACATACATACATACATACGTATAACAATGCATACAAGGCGAGCAATTGTTGGTTTTTAACTAACAAACACACACTTCAATACACATCCGCACACACACACCCACACACACACACATATCCGCTCACACTCTTTCATACATAATTGTGTGTAATTTGTGTTCCTGCTGCAACGCATCCCATCTCCTGCTGCTACCGCTGCTCCTGCTGCTGCTGTTGATGATGATGTTTTATGGCCACTGGCTCAAATCTACAACAAAATATGATATGCAACAACAACAACGACAACAACAACAACAGAGGCAACAACAATTGGAGATTACGCCGCCTTAAACATTTTATGGACTTATTGCCCGTTGGCGGCAGTGTCAGCTCAAAATCTCTCGCAACATCACAGCAGCAGCAGCAACAACAGCAGCGCCAGCACGAATACCAACATCAACAACAACAACAACAACAACAACAACATCCAATATTACCGTGCCATTCAAAAGACCTGCTGGCCATGGCGAATGCCCAGCTGAATCCCGATGCTGTCGCCGAGCGGGAGACCCTCAATAGGTCGGCCAGCTATCACAGCGAGGAGTTGCTGCTGCACGACCTGTTGGCCGAGACGGAGCCGACAAATGGACACAGGTAGTAGTTATTCATTAAAGCAATGCTCCCACTAAACACAGAGACAGACACACACACACACACGCACACATAGAGTGTGTGAGTGCCGCGGGGCGTATACTTGATGCGAGTACTTAATGCGTCATTAGGCCGGCCCTGGCTAGAGGCAGCTCGGCCAATCGTTAACCGTTCGGCTTGCGGTCTTGAATATGCTGTATTATACCTTTAATTATGCCACGCACACACACATACACATGCTCGCATTGACATTGACCGAAATGTTGTGTTAATTTAAATCAATTAAACCAATTATGCATTCATTCACTTGCATAAGCACCGAGGCTCAATGCAATAATCACGTTGTTTTTTATCCTATTCAATTCATATTTAAAACATATAATATTGATTCATTCTATAAATGGGAAATTACTGAAGAGCTTAAGATTAAGTCAGAGAAATCTAGCTGCAGATTGTTAACGTATCATATATAAAGACCTTAGTGCAAAAATGTACTATAGAATGATATATATCGATAAAATTACTCTTTGACACATTTATCGATAGCTATATAACTATAGCTCTCACTTGTGTCACATTGCATACGGGCTCATACGACCCCTAGCTTAGATTGAATTTAGTAGAAGAGGTTCTTCAATACAATACAATATTTATCGATATTGTTTTTATCGAATCCTAATGTGAAAGACGTCCCTAGGTTTATAGCTCTGTATGTTTTGTTACTACTTAAGGGTAAAGAGAATTATCAATGAATTAAGCTGTGGCCATAAAATGACATATAGATCATAATTTTGTTATCGAAGTCCATAGAATTATTGTAGATAGAAGCGATGCTTTAATAGTTATTGATATTCTATTTTTTTAGACGCCGACTCAAATTGTATTATGTTAGGAATCAGAAAATGTCTCAACACAGTTATCGATAACTTAGGGATGAGCTTCAAATGCAGTTGGGCTGTCTATTCTGCCATATGCGATAAATAGATCACACTCAACCTAAAAGTAGAGATATATCAATGGAATTGCCCATTACTGAGTGCACTGATATGGATATCATATTTATCGATAACTGCTAAAAACATGTCCGTAGCAAAGTTAAAGCTCTGCTTAGTGAAGTGGTTAGCCCTTAGCAGGAGCAAGTGTATCTTAGCAAGCGAAGAGTCTCTTGGCACTGACAAGTGATGCGATGTGCCGTAGAATGGATGCTTTAATAGCATATCAAATGTCAAGGACCACTGGGCTCAAAGAGAGTGCAAAATGAATAGACCGATAACAAACGGGCCAAGTCGCGGCACTGTTGAGGCGGACAGCTGATTAGCGCACAACTTGTTGCATATTTCATAAGCGAAACAATGTGTTGCGTGGGCTGTCAAGTGGGGCAGCACAGCTTGAGTGGTGAGGAGTGGTATATGCCAACAGCACCGCTCTCGAAACGCTGCTCAAATGGCGACTGGAGTGCGTAAGACGTGGACGAAACAATGGCCTCAACGTCAAGAGACGTTTGCAATGCAAAAAACATTTCACTCTCGACTCGGCTGCCTGGCCCCGATTGGAGCAAAGCAAATTAAGTAATTATGGCAAGTGTTGTGCTCGAGCTGCCGGTGCTGGCGATAATGAAGCAGCTGCTGCTGATGCAGCAAAACCTCTGCCTGCCACTCGGTTGAGTTTGAAGTGCGCTCTTTGAGCTTAGCCGCATTAGCAGCGCCGCTGCAAGCTGCCAGATGTTTGAGCTGGACACCTCTGCCAGTCGAATGAGAAAGCAAACTTGACTGGCTTTACCTCTAGTTGCTGAGCTCAATTTGTTAGAGCCCAAGGTAAATAGATTTATTATTTATTTAGGAGAGTAGAGAACCTGCTATAATAGACCAAGCAGAGCTTCAGCAGGCGAAGATCTCTCTCGTAGTCCACAGTAACCGACTCAGGCTTACATAGACTTGCCCTTCTTAAGCTCACATATCAAAAACACGATTCATGCCCAACCAGAAGCATTGCAATTTGATTCTACTTCAGCTCAGAAAACCTTGCCAAGCTGAGCTACATGCAATTTACAAATGCTGCACCGGTTTAAAGAAAATACTCAACTGAGAAATCATTTCAATTGAAAAGCAATCGAGTTTTATAGGTCTGCCAGTCTCTCTTGCAATCATAAATCAAGTGGCCAGGGAACAGATGTCCGATGTCAGCTTGTCCTTCGAGCTGTTGGCTTGTGCAATGATATTGTAAATCGAATTTGGTCCGACACTTAGCAGCTGCTATTTATAGATTAATCTAGTCCGGGCGACAGTTCGACCTGGCAAATACCAATTGGCTGCGCTGGCGTATACGTGATATATCAATTAGAGCGCGCAGCACGGCAGAGCTTAGCAGCCAAGTCACAGGGGAATCACAGTCGAGTCACAGTCGCGTCACAGACGATTCACAGCCAAGGTCAGCGGCAATGCAATTAATTATATGCAGGTGACTGCCGCCAGGCTGCACTCAGAGGGCGTCTTTGCAGTGAAGCTCGCTAATTGAACGGGTTATGCGCGCCGACTGAGGAATTGTGCCTTGGCTGGGCTGCCAGGGCATGGCACGGCCTGTTAGACCCGATTGCCTTGTTGCAGGACACAGCAGCAAGCGGCTGCCATCGCTCAGTCATTTGATTTTCTTTGCCTCTACTTCTGCTCTTCCCTTTCACCTTTCGTCTTTCGTCTTTTGCCTTTTGCATTTTGCATTTTGCCTTTACTCATTACGATGCCGCTTTGATTTTGCGGCGTTATCCTTGATGCGTTGCCACAGCCACAGGCAGTGCCAGCGCCTTGAAATGCGCGTTAATTATTTTGCAATTATGTGCCTGACTGACCCAGCGAAGGTTCCACGATTGCTGAATGCTCAAATGAGATGCTCGACCAGCACCGGCTCGAAGTTCACATCAGCATGAAGTCACTCGTCGCACAGTTGCTCTGTTTGTTGTCCTGTCCTTGTCTTGGGGGTCGTCGACGTTCCGTCCTGTGGCTGGTTAACTATCATTTATATGTAGCTCCGCTCGGTTAGCGCACTTGAGGTGCGATCAAGTTGAATTATATTGGAGCTGGGCAGCCGCTGTGGCCGCTGGCCAATCGGATTTACGGTCAATAATCTGGTAATTTGCTCATGCCGGACCCATTCGACATTCGACTACAAATTGAATTACGTGCACCAACTGATTGCCCTTCACGGCGTCTATTTTGATTTGGGTTTGATGTTGATGCTTCAATGTGAGCACTGTCCGAGCACTTAAGCTGGGTGTGGACAGCCGACAGCAGGTCGACCGCATGGCTATTAAAGGGGCACATTACGTATACGCCCCGCACACCTCGCAAGGGCAACGCCTCGTTGAACGGTGGCGTCTGTTTAATTTATACCAATTAAACAATGTACGTCGTTCGTTGCTCCCCCGCGCCACCCCCTCGTCTCCTTGGCCTCCACCTGGCCGCAAAATAAAATTTTCGTTCAGTCCGAAAAGGTCAGCGCAAGAAGCAGCTGGCCCAGAGGGAGCGGACCTGTGCGGCAGCTGGACATCTGTTGCGGCATGCAAACAAAAGCGTCAACGTACAAAGTTATAAACAAGCCCCAGCCCTGGCAGCCGGTTAAGCCGTCGACTTATAAGGGTGGCTTGCATTGTTGACCGCCCTAGACAATTTGTTCAGCGATTAAGTGTCACGGGCCAAAAAATGTAAATGAACCAATGTGAGTTCTTAGCTGCAGTCGCAGTCCAACTGGCGGTAGGCAACATCTAAATATGGACAGGTGTATATGCCTGTATATATATATATGTATATGGCAATTACTTGATAGCATAATATGACACGCAAGCGAGCTGTCAACACAAGTTTGAGCTGGTTCGAGGTAAGGTTCGCTGCTTGAGCTGCAACACAATTGAGGTTCAACAGACTCTCAATGTGAGCGCAGCACAGTGGGTACTTAAGAGACGTACGGTTATGGTCTGCTATAATGCATAATAAGATATGGAGTGCTTACAGCTGAGGCTCCTTTTGTCTGCATGACGCAGACCAGGCATTTGAGCAGCTGCTGCACTTGTTTCCATTATCAGCGCACAACTCCTTCGAGCTTCGGCTTGAGCATGTGAGATGAGATGCGGGAGGGGTGAGGCACATCATGCTATTGTCTCTGGCTGCCATTTGCAGGTATAAATCGGATCGAATTGAGCTGCAGCAGCAGCATTTAGGACCTCTGCACTTTGCATTTGCATTGCACTTATCATATATCACATCATATTCGAGGCATTAACGCCCAAAGCACGCGCTCTGCTAACTGCGCAGCTAGCAGCGACTGCGCTGGGACTCCGATACGGGCTATGCCATGGGAACGCATTTATTAACTAAATCGTCTTGTAGTGGGACTATCTACATCAAATTCTCAGAATGGTGTAATGACACTACAATGAGTGCATTATTCAAAGCACAAGTCTCCAGTACTTGAAGTAGGCTTTTCTCTTACATATTGGTGGCGAAGGGGGCGTGGTGTCCAAAATCTGTACATTACGAAATCTTTATATTTCTCAAATATATATACACAGTAAATCGGGAGTCTCTGGGTCTAAAAGTCTTCACAATACGCCAAAAAAAACGAAATAAATTTATCGATTATTATCGATAAACAAGAAATGGGATAAGCTAGCAAAAAATATGAGACTGTGTTTGTTATACACGAATACACATGTACAATGTAACGTGTCTCATGCTTATATCATCTGAGATATTGGACATGCGGACAGATAGACATGGCTATATCGGCTCTACCCGTCGTCCTAATCAAAAATTATTTACTTTGTGGAGTCTGCCGCACATGCCACCGCCTGTCACATACATTTTTACAATACTATATTCCATGGCGTATAATAAATACATATATGTATATACATTTCAGGCTCTTAAAGTCGTATTAGATTACGAAGCGCCAATGCTCAAATGTTGAAATGCTCTCCATATCCATTCGATTTGAAAATCCATTGTATTTGGCCATTAATTACTTGGCGCTCATTATTTGAGAATTACCTCGGGTGGAGGGGAGGAAGAGGGGTGACTTTGAAAGGCAGCCCAATTGTTGTTGTGTCGAAGCGAATATGCAACTGCATTTGCCATTGTGCGGCGGCACCTGCCCGAACGGAATCATCATTGTTCCTTAGTTCAGAAATAGCCATGGGATAGAATTTAATAATAACAACAATAGAATGCAGGAATAGCGTCTGGTGTGCACTGAATAGATACCCCTCCCACACACACACACACAACCTTTTGCTTTGGGCCAATTGACAATGGAAGGACTTGTGAGTTAACAAACGCAAATATTGACTGACCGATGGCTAATGAGATACAGCACTTAGAAGTGTTAATTAGACGAATGAGGCGCCATCAGCGCAAAGCGTTCTTTAAATCACCCTCAATTAAGGTCAATTATGCGAATGGCTAGTGATAGTCAATGGCAAACAAATGGACAAATCAAAACGAATATATCACATTTCACAAAAATTTCAATCGAAATGCAAGCGATGAGAGAGTGAGAGACAGAGAGAGTGGGAGATAGAGAGAGAGGGCAAACGGAATATTCTGAAATTCAACGTAAAATGCGGATTAATAATGAAATTCAATAATGCATTGACGGTCCACATGAATGAAAATACTTGTCGAATCGCGTTTATTAAGAACTGATGCAGAATCACATTCAGGCACACAACCAGAGCCAAAGAGCATATTTAATAATTTAGTTGATTGACATCTATGAAAAAGAAAAAAAAACAATGAAAACAGAACCGGAACGAAAATTCAATATGAGTTTCACGTCTACGAAATAAATTCCTATATATTTCATTTGTGCCTCGGATGGCTGCAGTGTGAGTGACGTGGGAGCTTTAAATTACGGCTGCCCACCCGTGTGTATTTGACATGCGGTGCGAATGAGTTCTCTTTTTGGTAACATATTACGTTTGGCTGTAAGTCAATAACGGTCAAAGAAATACTTGATGAAAGGCCACCCAGGCCACCGATTTCAATAAACCTCTGCTCAGTTTGCCATCGAGTGTGTATTTATATGTATGTATATATAGCTGTACAAATACTCTGACCGATTCGATGAATAATACGCAATCAAGCGCTAAAAGGCCAACTGTGTAAACGTGAAGAGTCGCGGCGGTCACGAAGGACCTTGTTGCACTCATGCTGAGTGCTTGCCACACAGTTGATGCTGGGGCAGAGGCCAGCTCTGCGTGCAGTATTTATGAACTGTGTCGTCGCACTCTCAGTTGGCAACACCCTGGGCCACTTCGAGCTACTGCGATCTTCGTCTCTCTCTCTCTCTCTCTCTTTCTGGGATAAATAAAGAGGCATGCAGTCGAGAAGCAAAGCTACTCTGATAATACCTCCGAAACAAAGCAGCTTCACGCAAGCACTACAGCGGCAGTGGGAGGCAATCGTAAATTCGAATTCTTGGACTCTGCACAGACTCGTTTCCTGAGTATTCTAAAGAAGCTGCACTGATCCATTTACAGGCTGATTTATATTACAGACCCCCTTACAGACTCTGTTACAGACTGCCTTACAGACTCTGTTACAGACTCTTTCACAGACTCTGTTATAGACTCTCTTACAGACTGCCTTACAGACTCTGCTACAGACTCTCTTATAGACTCTGTTACAGACCCCCTTACAGACTCTGTTACAGACTCTCTTACAGACTCTCTTACAGACTCTGTTACAGACCCCCTTACAGACTCTGTTACAGACCCCCTTACAGACTCTGTTACAGACCCCCTAACAGACTCTGTTACAGACCCCCTTACAGACTCTGTTACAGACTCCCGTACGGACTCTGTTACAGACACCCTTACATACTCTGTTACAAACTCCCTTACAGACTTTGTTACAGACTCTTTTCATACATTTTTACAGATTCTTTTACAGACTTTTTAACAGATATTTTTACTGGCTCTTTTGCAAAATTTTATACAGACTGCACATATCTATTTACAGACTCTTTGGCTACCTCTCTACAAGACGCAATTACAGACTATTTGACAGATTATTTTACAGACACTAGTAAAGACTCTTCATGGACTTTTTTTTACAGAATCTTGTGTATAATCCTTTACAGACTTTTATACAAACTGTTACAGATCACTTAACAGCCTCTCTGGCAGAGTTCGTTACAGACTCTTTTAAAGACCGTTGCACAAACTTTTTAAAAGACTTTTACATAGACTGACTTTGCACAGCCGCATTCACAGTCAGACTTTGCACGGACATTGCACAGACACTATCCCGTCATATTATCTAACAATACGTCATCTATGTATACACAGCAATGTCAACATTTTACAGTCACATCCAGCCTTTGGCAGGTAATCCTTTATCAGAAAGTAGTATATCTACTGCTATATCTATGAATCTATAGCTATTAGCCTATGTCTTATGATATCTTTAACTGTGTCTTCATCTGTAAGTTAATTATTTTCATGGAATTTATAATTTAAATGTAATCGAGCTCTTATCTAACTTTTCTCTATATACCATATGTATGTCACTATGCACAATGCGGCTCGTTAAAGCGCTTGCAAGAGTTGGACAAGTTAAATCAATCTGACACGAGGTCGTCGTGGTGAAGGTCAATTGAATTGGCGGCCCGTTGGCTGCACACTGATGCGACCTTCATGCGAAATGCAACGAAATGCCGCCCAGCTGCTGGGCTGCTTAATTGTCCCACTAGCCAGGTGTCAGCTGGTGTCAGCGGCTGGTTGATAGGGACCGGCAGAGCCCAGGGCCCGAAAATTGTTTACCACAACTTTTGACACTCGCAACAGTGTCAACAACAACTGGCAGGAATTTTGATTTGACGTGTTTGTTGATCAGAGGGCACGCAAATCAATGGAGCTGCCGCAAAATGTTGCACACATACAAATGTGCGCCAGATTCCTATTTATAGACCGAGCTATGCACCGACTGCCCCCATGCACACCTGGGCATACCTGAGCGTGGGTAGCAGTGGCGCATGTCTCACAGTTGAATCGCTGCTAATTAAGCATTGAATTGCGAGCTGAGAGAACTTCTCGTTGCAAAGCAAAGAAAGTTCAAGTTCTCCTTTAGTTTTGCCATTTTACAACACTGCCACTATGAGTTCATTTCCTGGGAGAGGCAAGGAGCTGCTTGTGAAGAACTTTTGCTCATTGGCCCAGGCCAAACAACAATGTTGTTACTTATTAAGCGCATTATTGTGTTCAGTATTGTTAATAACACTATTACTTTACGAAGCGCAACTGTTGCATTGAAGACCTTAGCTTCTGTAAACAGTCTAGCTATGAGTTATGTCCAGTTTACGAACCACAAGGCTTGGCTAGTTGGCTTTAATCAACTAGCCAAACTAAGCAGAAGATTTAAGTTTCCGTAAGTATAGAGGAGATATAGATATATGTATGTACGTACAGTTGTGCTGTGCGTCTCTTAACCACAGCCACACAACTTTACCGACAACACATTGTTGCGCAGCACCTGAAAAGGCGCGTGTGGTCGTGAATAGATAGCTATAGCTAACTGCCGTTTCGCATCGACTTTTACAGGATACACAAGGATGACTTTGGGACGCAGCGTGTGTACAAGAAGACGTCGCCGAACTGCGTGATCACGCTCTACTTGCCGACGCGCGAGATAATACTCAGCGGCAACAATCCATCGGTGCTGCGCGGTATCGTCTATGTGGACCCGAAGGCCATTCAAGGATATCGCGTTTATGCGCAGCTAACTCTGACATTTCGGTAAGGTAGACCCACACGACACCGACCTAACCATCCTCCATCCGCGTCCCCACCCGACGCCAGGACGTTGCAATCCGCTCGAAATCGAACTGAGCCCGTGGAACCTGTCGCTGCATGTCCAGCTAAAAGAGAGCTCATAAATAATTGCTCGGCCCTTTCTCGTTGCAGCTATGGGCGCGAGGACGAGGAGGTGATGGGGCTGCGTTTCTGCAACGAGGCCATTATGTCGCTGCATCAGATTTGGCCACGCCTCGAGGAGCCCTCGCCCGAAACGCTCAGTCCACTTCAGGTAAGTTGCAAGCAGCAAGCAGCACGCAGCAAGCAGCGCGTCAACGTTGCAATCATTGTAATTGAAATTATGCAGTGTGCACTACACAACCGACCACTGGCCCCACCCTCAGACGCCGGCCACAGGCCCCACACTCAGTCGCATTCGCTCATTGACCGGCTGAAGTGTCAGTTTGTGTGTTGTTGAGCAGACACTTTAGAGGCGACGAGTGCGAGACGAGCACTCGGCAAACCAGTCGAGCACGCCTCAGAGTAGGTGGCAGCCAGCAGGAGGCGGGCCAGCGTGCAGCTTGACTGCGAAGTTTCTAGCGCTATTAAAACTGATAGGCAAACTCGGCGAGCGAGCGCAATTTAGTATATTTTTATTTTGTTTTTCTTGCTTTCGTTTTTTTGTTTTTTTTTTGGCTTAACTTTCCGCTACTAGCTCAACAAACTGTCCAACAGCAGCAGCAACAACATGTGGCAGCTGTCTCAGTGCCACATAAATTGGAAAAAAACAACGCTTTTAGCACCTCTGTGTAGAAGCAGCGCAAGCAGAAAAATTAATGAGAGGAGAGAGAGAGAGAGAGGGAGAGGGAAGGGGAGAGAGAGCAAGAAGACTTAGTTATAAATAGATATATGGAAATACTTTGTTAACATCTCACACGAAAAGCAACTAAAGTTGATTTACCAGGATATTCATTGTAGCTGCATTCCAGGGTATGTGCTAGTCGTGCATTTGTGTACACCGCAGCGCTTGTTATGTATTCACTGTAGCTGCATTTTGCCATAATTGCAAGCGCTTGGAAATTGATGGTGCTCTGGTGTTTTGTTCCAAGCTTAGCTCAGATTTAAAGCGAGCGCAACAAAGTATGCTATACTTTTTCCGGTTTGATAAGACGCAGAAAGAGGTAGAGAAAGAGGTAGACAGAGAGAGAGAGAGAGAGTGACGAAGGAGCGCGGGGCGAGTACAGTTATTGTCGTTGTAGATATTTTGTTGACATTTTACGTGAGCTCTTGACGCTCAACTCTCCTGCTCGACTCCACGCCACTCGCTCGTCATAGATTTAAAGACGGCAATTTACTGCACTTAAATCAATTGAAAATCAATTTCATTTAACTAAAAGCTGTACAAATGTTTGCGATTCCCTTTTGTATTGTTTTTTACTACAGCAGATAGACAGATGGACAGATGGAGACTGGGAGAGATTGAGAGTGGTAAACCAGAAGGAAGCTTCAATTTGAACTTTCCCTTTTATCAAACTTGACATGGCAATCATTTATTTAGCCATCATATTTTTGACAGCCAAACTCACCAAAATTCGGTTAGGCAATCAGTTTACAGTTCGGAACTCTCCGTTTGCAGTCCTTGGCTGTCAGCTTCCATTTTTCTCGCTTGTCTTGACCGATTTGCATAATATATTTAGTAACTTATTTACTGGTGGCTGCCACTGCCTCAGCCTCAGCCTCAGCCTCAGCCGCAGCCACAGCCACAGCCACTGCCTCCGCTTCTGCCTCCGCTGAGCGCTTAAAACAGAAACACAAACATGCATAATTAAATAAATTTGACTTTAATAAGTTGCTGATGGCAGCGGCAAAGTATTTCGCAAATAACACGGCTCAGAAGGCCGGACGCAAAGCGAAATGCCGAATAATATTGTGCGCGTCCGCCGGCAGCCAGATGAAAGAGAATTTTTTTCGTAATGAATTCATGGTAAATATGTTGATAAATTGATCTAAATATGGCTGAGCTAAGCTGACAATCGATGACAGATCCGATGAGATTATAATGAATGACCGTTGCTGGCATAGTGGGGGATATAGCAGTGTTGGAAAACTATCAAATCAAAGAAAATAAATATATAAACAAATCAAAGAATCTAAAGAGACTATAAGAAGAAGATATACATGTTGCAATAGATAACGCGAAAGAACTTTATATCAAAGAAGATAAAAAGACGACGCTACAGCTTAGTCGACAAGCAGCTCTCAAGGATTTCGAGTCAAATAGGATAAAAAGACTATAATGAGTACCTAATGCTTAAATGACAGACAGTTGTATAGGATTTGCATTCAAAGAAGATTAGGTGCAGTTTAAGCAATAGACCAAACCAAAGCGTTATCAAAAGATGTCTAGAAACAGATGAGTTAAGTTAGAGGGGAAAGGAGACAGTCATATATAAAAGTAATGCACATATCTAAAATATAATATAGTCAAATTTACATAAGATATACAATATAAAAGACATTGCTCTATTGATTCCGATGAGCAACTTTGCTGAAGAGATGCTAAACAGAATTTACTGCATATCGATACTCCAATAAATCGATAATTTGGGAGTTTTTAATGCAGCACGAACTGCAATAAACGATTTAAAAATCTGATAAGAAACAGCTAAGCTTAGGCTGTCTATTGACAGATTGCTAAATTATACATCTCTAAATAAATCTTTAAAATATATCGAACTGTATTATAAGTTATCGATTTATAAATCGATTGATAGTTGCTATCGCTTGACAAATTGAAAATCGATGCATTAATCATGTGACAGCGACAACTGTAGTACCAATAATTCTCCCAGCTCAGCCAATCCATCGTTAATATCAGAATTCTATAGGAAAAACGCGTTTATGCAGCAATGGTTCACTTCATTTGCATTGTCTAAATGGGGATTTTCTTGGAAATATCAACATACTTGGCTGAGAACATTCAACTTATTAGCGCGACAGTTAAATTTGTTGTCTCAATGATAAGCCAAGAGCTACATCTTTGCAACCCAAAGGGAATTTGTCTGACAATTGAGGCTTAAGAAGACATGGCTGGTGTTCCTTTCACATTCCGCAGCAACAGCCTCTAGTCCAACTCCTGCGCTCGTCTTTATTACTCTCCTTCTCTCTCTCTCAGTTGCTCTGCCTCTGTGTCATCTGTTGTTCGCCCCTTTTCAACCACAAATGGCGCTGAAAGAAGAACAAAACGCTTGCAGAGCCAAACAAATTGTGCTAGGGAATTGTCTTTAAATACTTTCCATTAAAATGCCGTGCACAGTTTGAGGCAAAGTCAGTGGGAAAGTGGGATGGGGTGGCGACCGGACTGCCCCTGTGGCTGTTGCCCATTAGCCCGCACGATACGGGGAAACACGCGCCGTGGATAAGATATTTAGGAATAAATCCAAGGGCACCAGCACCGTCAGGATCATCATGGCCAGGACCAATGCCACAGGGGCAGAGTCAGGGCCAGAGGCATCGCATTATACCGAATACATAATCAAATGCAAATGAAATGCCAGAAACAGCCGAAGATTTAACAAAAAGCATTGTTATCAAAGCCAAAACAAAGCCCGCAATTCAAGTGGCCCGCTCCCCCAATCAAAGCGTCGAAGTGCATAATTAAAAACTAAATATAACCTTCAATAATAAACACACACACACTGGTATATATTCAGCTAGACTTCTAGGAAAAGTACCCAAGCGATGGGGTCGTGCGTCCTCACTCGCCCTCTCTAATGAATTCAGTCTCTCCCCTGCAGCTTAACCTTGCGTTTGCTCTCCAAGGCTGTGACAGGGAAGTCTGTCTGACTCCTTTGGCTAAGCCCTGACATCCCTAGATAAGCATTTAATAAGTAAGTCTATTGCCCTGGCCTAAATAAAAGCGAAGGTCAGACCTGTCTTGTCTCTCCTTGATGGCCAGGATTTGGTTAGGCAATCGGCTTTCCTTTCTTATCTAGCCTTGACCTAAACGGCCTCTCCTGCTCTCACCCTCCACCCTAGAGGATTTTCCAAGAAAATCAATTAAAGTGCCAATTTTCGAAATTCGACAAAGCAGCTGATTGTGGCCTAACGCAATTGCTCTCTCGTTGCAGGAGGCCCTACTGAAGCGACTGGGCGATGGGGCTCATCCGTTCACCTTATCGCTGACTGCCCAGGCACCGCCCAGTGTCCAGCTAGTGCCAGCCAAACGCTACTACGGAGCCCCCATTGGCACCAGCTACGACGTACGCTGCTTCATTGGTAAGTTTTCAGCTATATCTGTCCGTATGGACTCCAGTAGATATAGCCATTTGCTCCGAGGACACCGGCACCGGAGCTGCGCAGGTGATGTATGTCATCGAGGTAGTGCAAAGTCATCAGGCGAAGAGTCGACAAATATTGCGAATCAGTGGGGGAGCATAGTAAGAGCTAAATCAACTTCCGAAGAGCACTAACTTAACTTCCTAAAAGCTCTAGGTGCTACAACTTGAGCAATTTGTCTATTCAAGCCAGAGTCATGAGAGAAATCTACTATAACTTTTGATTAGCAAAGGCGATAGAATTTTAGCAGCGTTTTTCAAATGAAAAAAAAAAAATCCATCACAGTTAGAATTATCCGAAAGGTAAGTAATATATGGACCTGCAAGTCATCAAGATTTTAATGAGAATTGACGAAATATCATCGATCTGTAGGATTTGTTCACTGCAAGAGCATACAAATACCCTGGGAAAGTTTTAGAGTGTTATTTAATTAAGTTTAATGCTCAGTTTAAGATCAATACACACTCACATTTCCAGGTTTGACAATAAATTAAGCTTAGCTATAATTAACCAGTAAACATTGCCTTTCCTCCATCCATCACACATCATCAAGCCATTGCCAGCGCCATTCGAATCGAATCGTGAGTATCTCGGGCAGCGAGTACGCTCTCTCGGACGCAAGCAATTACACTTATAGCCTATCTATATTGATGACCACGCCCCCATCAAAGCCTTTTTTCATATAACGAAAGGAACAGAGAAAAACAGATCCCAATACTTTTCACTATGCTTGCTGCACCTGCGGCTGCTATTGACGTCAGCAGGGTTGATGTGAGAGAATTGTGCTCTTATCCCTATTTCTCTCTGTCTCTCGCCTCTCTCTGTTTTTCTCTATTTGTTTTTTTCATTTTTGAATGATTTTGATTAAATTTCATTTTGGGTTCAGTTTGCTTTCTGCACTGTGTTAGCTGCTCTCGATCGGGTCTGTCCAGCCAACCGATACCCTCCCTACAATGAGAACGAAGCGGCCGAGCAGTCAATGAATCTCACTTGTTGTTGCTCTGCCTGCTTGGCATACACCTTTAGCTGAATGCGCATTTACAGGGTATGCGAATTGAATCAATATCTAATGTAAATGCATGCCTTTTAAGCATTGCGCGGCTGTTTTACCTTCGACCATCCGAGCCATTCGGATTTCAATTCCGTTTTGCGATTTCTGATGCTCCCAATGCCTTCCGTTAGCCTTTTTTCTATTTCCTTTGAGTTCTTTTCATTTTGCCATTTCTTTTTTCGTTTCTCCCTTGTTTTTTCTTTTGGTTGGTTTTCTTTTTTCAATTGCCGCCGGAGCCATAGATCCTTGGATGCCTGCTCGCATCCCCGTCGCCCCTTTCGTTTGTCTTTCGGCAGACGAATTGAAATGAATACCTGCGTACTACAGCCAAGAACCGCCCGAAGGACGAACCTAACCGCCAGCTCATAGAGCTCTGAAGGTTCACTGCGATTGGAAATGAGAGCTAATGAGAAAACTGCACGCTTTTTAACAACTTATTGTTTTACTCCGCACAATACAATCGGGACTTGGCAGTATGATTTTGAGAAGATATACATACATGTATATATACATATATATATATACATAGAATATATATGTATATATATGTGTGTATGTGAAAACACTATGTTGCCTGTTAACAGTTAATATCATTTGGAACAACAAAGGACATGGCATATTCTGTTTAATAACAACTCCCCTACCCCATCGACCAGTCGCCCGAGGCGCCGTACATCCTATGTGCGTGTGCTCAAGTATGAAAAGAAGTGCGCTTAACGGCCGCCTGCGGCCGCCTCCGCTGGAAAACGGACCAGCTGCTAGTCAGCTAGCCGTAGCGCCCTCTAGCGGTTGTCAGCGTTCACAAAAAGTGGCGCAAAGGTGAGCCGGTGGCCGGGCCAGCCTAGTAGCCCACATAAATCGCTGTGCGCTCCATTGTTTTGCTTTAATTATGTGCGCCATGTAGAAGGACTGTCCTCGTTATGGATCATCTACCCAAGGAATATTGTTTTTTGTATTTCCTTGCCATATATTTTTATTTTTTTTTGAATGCAGTGTCAAACGCAATGCGAACCGGTTCTGAGACCGTCTTGAGGCCAGTTGAAACGGTAAAATCAACCATTTTGTTGCGAATCGCTTTGAGCTGGTCTCAACACCGTCTCGTACCGTCCTTCAAATGCAACTAGACACCTTGCATCCCCCTCCTCCTCTTCGCCATCCTCGCGCCCTCGCATCGGCTCTGCGTGAAACAGGCCAACGTCCACGATCTTGGCTCTGTGCAAGCCCTTACCAATGCTTAATTATCAAAGGGATGCGGATAATGAAGCATTGCGTCACATTATATTCAGACTCATGCCATAGCCTCTTGTTTCCCCAATAACTGAGTCACAACACATTGTTTTGAATGTTTCTGATTTTGAGCAAAAGCAATCCCAAAATCATTTTTCATTAAATACATTTTCATTTATTTTTAATTTTGTAAATCGAAATTGCAATCCGTTTAGTTGATAAAACGAACGCTGATTCGACCGTAAAATTTGTTGTCTTCATTTCAATCCATGAGAGCTTGAAAATGTCCTGCTCCATCATCAGTTGTTTCCTTTGTTGCTTTGTACTCTCTATTCTCTTTTCATTTCTTACGCCCGATTGCTTCTTTTTTTCTCGTACTCGTTTTATATTCTCTTGTAACAGAAGTTTTGCAGCTTGAATTGATGAAGAATCAAATCGCCATCAAAGTTAACCATGCTTTTTTTCCAGTGAGCAGTTCGATTACTGAATTACTGAAGTCTATGGGGCGTCACTGACTTATATGGACACATACATACCTATATGCTTATCAAAAGTCTAACATCAAAAATAAACGAGAACTTAAACAAATTAAACATTTTCTTGTCTAGTATGTTGTGTTATACCATGATTAACCTATTACGATTATCGATGGACGATTTTCCATTTTCGTTTTTCGAGTTTTGATTTGCGATTTGTGATCGTTGATTGATTTCGTTTTCTGATTTACCGTGCGGCGCTGTTTGAATGTGAATGTCTTTGCTTATGCTTATCGCACTTTACGCACTTATCGCACCCAGTTCGCAAGCGCCGTAAGCCTCTCTGAGGCCATCCCCCCACAGCACAGGGCATGACGCTAAGGCAGATGCGGCGGCACAATGTTCTGACCAGATTCACGGCACGCATGTGGCGCAGCCTTCGCTGCTGCTGTCTGTGCAACCCGGTTCGAGGTAAGCGGCACGATTCGTCCCATTGCCACAGTGTCCTCTGATGCCTGGCCAAAAACAATCAATTCAATTGTCGTGTAATAACTTGTACTGTCCTCTGTGTTTCCCTATTTTAGTATCAACGTATTGATGTGACTCCACTTCGTTTCAGTTCACCTTCAGTTTAATTGCTGTCTTGCTGTCTCTGTTTGTGTGTGTGTGTGTGTGTGTGTGTGAGTGTGTATGCGAGTATTTTTATAAATTTATATAAATAGATATAAGCTTAATGGTCATTCCGACTTGATGTCTTTTCATTGTTGTCGCTTCATGTCATCACATAGTCATATTTTCATTCATTCATGTCTCTATCTCTATCTCTATCTCTATCTCTATCTCTATCTCTATCTCTATCTCTATCTCTA